CTAATTTGAGTATCGCAAGCGTAAAGTGTAGATAGATAAGTGTAAAAGGGTCCTCCTGTAGCCAGTGCATGATACTGCTGTGTACGCTTTTAGTGAAGGGTGGCCCAAAATTACCAACCTTCGTTTGTCGCGCTTGGCTCTTATGCGCTTTGCTATCTGGATATTTTGAGGCAAGAAGCGCTGCCTTGGGCACAAAACCACTTCGGAAACAAAATTTGGTTCTTTCAGCAAGATGAGGCACCTGTCCACAAAACCCGAATTGTCTAAGACTAGTGTAAACGAAGCTTCCTGGATTTTATCCGCTTTAAGCAATGGCCACCATCAAGCCCCAATTTAAATCCGATGAATTACTCAGTCTGGAGTGTTCTCGAAGCAAAGGTCTACTCAAAAGCACATTCAAGCATTGATTCACTGAAAAAAGTCACTCCAGAAAGCTTGGGCTGAACTGAACTCAATCCGGCGCATCTTTTGGCCTCAATTCCAGGGCATTTCCATCCACGAAAAGTTGCCTGGATTCAGAGTTATGCCTCGGGTGTTTGCACGAAATTGTTGGCCTCAAATATCGCAAACTCATTGAAATGGTCCTTCTAAGAGTTTAATTTTGAATTCGGATCTCAAAATGAGTCGAAATCCGATTTTGTTACTCTCAATCCATTCATAAAAGGTCAATCCAAATGCTTTTTGATCCCAAATTTTTGAGTTCAAGCTTTTTAAGCTCAAGTGCTCTTCGTTGTGGGTTCATTATAATAAAACGTTCCACTACCACTTTTCTTCCTTTGAATACACCAGTGTAACCGAAGCTTCCTGGATTTTATCAGCTTTAAGCAAAGGCCAACATCAAGCCCCAATTTAAATCCGATGGATTACCCAGTCTGGGGGCTCGAGCAAAGGCCCAAAGGGAAAAGGAAAGATGATAAGATAGCAGATGGAAAAAGGGAAAAAATCCCCCCATCTTTCTCCCCCTCCCTTTTTCTGCGGTAAACCCGCCAACACCAGTCCCTTTTTTTTCTTTGAATGAAAATTTGCAAAAATTTTCCCCGCCGTCAGTTAACGAACGTTGTGTTTTTTAAGAAAAAAACATTGACTTGAGCTCTTGTGTGATGTGGCTGAATATTTATGCAATTTCTTTCTTGAGCAATGAAATTTTGTGAACAGTTTGCCTAAATTTTATTACTACAAAAGAGTAAAAGTGAATTTCGAGCATCAAATTATTGACATCTGCAGAAATTGGTCGCGTTGCACAAACCACCGGCCCATCCGTCCCCCACGCAGCAACTGAAACAATCACCCTGCTAAAAAAAGCGATTTGATTTGATCGAAACTTTTGTTTAACGAACACTTGGGCAATAGACCGAGCAATTGTGATTGTGTTCACCGTCTTGGCGAACCATCGAGGGGAGCATCGCCATGCAGATGCCTAAATTTACGCGTAAACAAATGACTTGAAAAATTTTTCCTCTGTTCTACAAAGAAAAACCCGTCTAATAAATTTAAAATCAGCTTTTCCATTAGTTTCTTTTCATCTTTGGATAGCATGTTTCTTTTCAACATGCTATCCAATGATGAAAAGAACTCCGAAAAAGTTGATTATTAACAGTTCAGGAAGTGTTTTTCATCATTTTCTCACAGCTCTCCGGCTTAAGGCACCAGATTTGTGAAAAAAATTCAAAATTGTTTACCGAAAACAAAAACGGTGAGGAGAATCGAGAGAATCGAATGCATTTTTCCAGAAAGATTTGAATGAAAAAGTTCAAGATTAGTTTAAGAGTGAGCCAAATCCAACCCTTTTATATCCACTCCTTCGAGACCAAATCATTCACCCAGTGTCGTGACGATCTCGTGATCGAGATTGCCACGTATGGAAATGGCCAGCTAGACACCTATGGGGACGAACGCCTATTGTGCTAGATTTAATATGTGTCGCTATCCGTTCAACTCCATTGTACGAATTTCTCTACAATGCAGAAAGAACATGGATTGATTTCAAAGCCAAGGAGCACTTCCCAAACATTGAAATCCCAGACATATCATTTAAAGTCAAATCGAGCACTTCTGAAGTGTTGAAGAAACCGGCACACAATGGAGTTGAACGGATAGCGACACATATTAAATCTCGCACAATAGGCGTTCGTCCCCATAGGTGTCTAGCTGGCCATTTCCATACGTGGCAATCTCGAACACGAGATCATCACGACACTCCCCGCGAGACAGAAACCGTAGTGGTCCTGTGTTACTGTTGTTGTAGAGTGGAGTTGTGGTGGTTGAGTTGTGGTGATGAGATGGAGAGTAGAAGAAGGGACTGTAACAAGGGGATTTCCTTTTCCCGCTCGTCTTTCTCTTATCCTTTTGTTTTCAAAACATAATACGCCGGGATTTCACTTGCTTGCGATTTGCCTCTGCTTTTCGTACTATATTCTTCTACTCAAATATTATGATTGCTCTCAATCATCTTCTCCCCCCAGTAATTCTTTTACTGGTTTTTTCGTTTCCGTCTCCCGCCTTTGCTATCGAGTTTGAACTCGTCTCCAGATGTCCAAATTGTTCGAACTTTCTTACCATCGTCGGGTAGTCTTTTTTCCTCTCACTTCTATGGAAAAAAATTTTTTAGATTTTCTCCTCTTGACTACCATGAGTGTGTTGATATTGATTCGTTGAGGTCCTCTGTTCTTCTTTGTCTATTGACCCCCGAATCGAGAGCGGAGATTTTGGGCAATCGGTGTGTCTTGTTCACAAAAAGTTCACAAACTAGTTTTACTTTCTAGAGGTGTGACCTGTCAGTTCTGTGTCACTGATCCGATTGACGTCTCGTCTGGCCACGACCTCTCTACCCATCTTAGTCACCCCGATCCCGTTCCTCTCCACAGCCATTCGCTTACAACCTTGGATGTGATTTTCGTTGTTCTCTCTCTCAATTTTGTGTTTGGTGCTCTTATCTTTGGAGTCTTTTGCTTTATCCGTCGCATTCAATCTCGTTTGCCTCTTGTTTAGTGTTCTCAATAAATCTGCGAGTTCGGCTCCAACGACGGGAATTTTGCCATCATAGGACAAATCCACTTTGTTGACGAGTGTTTTCGATGTTTCCACCGCTTTTTTTTTACTGAAAGGTGTCCCCCGAACGCCTTCCACAAAAGGTTGATCCCAATAGATTTTTCTTTTTACAATAGATTGAATCCTGTCTAGCTCAATATTAAAATTTTTTGGATTAAAAAAAAACTACGAATCCCTTCTTTACTATAATATCCTTTTAACAAAATCTTAATACTAGCCAAGGTGCTAATATTTTCAGAGCATATATTAATGCTACAACAATCGAAATTTTAAACAAAATATTCGGCAATTCCCCGTATGCATGAGTGAGGATATGTCCCACATCTGGTATTTTGGGCCATCCCAAACTGAGGGATCCGTTGCTGTAGTTTATAACATTGCTCGTCCTTTCGGCTAGTTCTTTTGGTCCTGAGTAAACTAGGGTTCCGATTAGGCTCAGACCAATTTTTACTTCACCGCATCTCACGCTGCATGTTTCGTGAATTGTGGCTTTGTTAAATTTCCTTCTTATCGTGTTTGTTGTCCCTTTCTCATTGCAAAAAATTAACTTGACAAATTCTTCTCCACATTTCAGCGTAGCTGACGTGTCTCCATTAGCATAACATAATATTTCTGCCACTGCTCCAGCTTGTTCTCCGCCATATGTTCCGGTATAACCCGAAAATGCTGTTACACGACAGTCTTTCGATGTTTCCACTAATCTGAGATCGATTTCTCCCTTGAACTTGACGTTCAGGTGTGCTACTAGATCAAAACTTTTCAACACTGGGAGTCCATCTACGGACTTTGGCAGCTCAAATTCTTCTCCGAGATGTGGTAAACCGTTGTTGTGATTTTCTATTTCTTTAAAAAAATCTCGTTCTTGACATGCACATGCGGCTTTATCTTCATCAGGTAGACATGAGCATCTCTCGTGATATGTTGTTGCCTATTGTAGATTGCTCGTTTTCAGACACAGATCTCATAGTAATCGAATAAAATATTTCTTGTTGCGGAAATTCTGTTTGTTTTTGCTTTTATATTTATTAACAAGCCAAATCTCTAAAACCACCAAGCAAAAATCACAAACCATTAAACCATTAAAAGAAGGTTGAATTGAATTCATGTTCACAAAACAGATCACTAAACAGAAATGGGTACATTAAAGTCATTCAAAGTTTTCTAAATCGTTGCTAGTCAAATATTTCAAAGACTGTTGAATTGGTGACTTGAGCGTACGTGCGATAGAACA